GGGGGGAAAGCCTCATCTTAGATTTGAGTACTGGCCTGGGCCTGGAGCCGAAGACAGAACTTAGCACTGCCCGCCCCAGGCCAGGGTGGCTCATGTGGCGGGGAAGCACAAGCAGAAACCACATGGTGGGGGAGAGGTGGGGAACACAGGGAAAACAATGCAGCCTCCTCCTCTCCTCTCCCATGCTGATTACCTTCTGCTCCTGCTTTGGCTCTGGGCCAGAGGTGGCTGCTGCTGCTGCTTCAGACCTGGCTAGGCTAGAGCGGAGCAACGCAAGAGGAGCAGGCAGCAGGGGTCAGGCACAGGGACGGTGGGGGAGCAGGCAGGGAGGGAAAGAGGCAAGAAGTCTGGCCCCTCCCCTCCAATAATTAGATTCTATAAATGGAAAATTATTACTAATTTACTGGGTAAACACAGTATCTAATGTTAATCTTCTCCTGTTAAACTGTTTTTATGGGACACAGATATTTTTGGTGGGCTGAGGAGGATAGAAGGCCTTTTTGATCTTCAAGTCTTATCTCAATTAAAGCCTTGAAATTATTTATTGTATATCCCTCCCTATCCAAGTCTCAGAGAGGCTTATGATAAATCATATACAGAAAGGAATCCCTAAACAACACCCCAACACACTTGAACTCTAACTCTCCCCTTCCTTCTAACCACAATTTCCCTGTCCAAACCCACATATAAGCAAACCCTCCTATCAATCCCAACCGATACTCACATCCAGATACAAGAACCCTTTTTCCTCAGCTCCCACCCTCCATTCCCACCATGCTGCCCACACCATCCTCCAAAGTCCCCTTCAAGCCTACACCCCCTGTCCCAGTAGAGGGTATAGATGGAATAATTTCTGAAGGGAACTTTACCACATATTTTACTCTGTAGTAAGGAGCCAACACAATCAGGCTCTCCTAATGCCTGCCAAGGGTGGATAGCTTGAAACACCAGGCTATCAGGGTGTAGGAAAGACAGCCAGTACTGGGCAGACAGCTACCCTGGATGAAATAGACTTTTTCATATAATAAGTTTATTGCAAAGGGAAAATACTACATATTTTTACAGAGTAACACTACCCAGTATTCAAGAGATTTATATTACAGTGGAGCTGTGCATCATGCATTTGCTTTACTTTTACTACATAGTAAAGTCAATTTATTACACAGTAAACATGCTGCATGTCTGCACTCTTCATAACCTGATGCAAAAACGTATTGTGGTAGGAGACTTTCTATTCACTTCAATGGACTTTATATCAAGCCTATGCCAAGATCAAATTCAAAGCTCAGATTCTTAAACTAAGAGCATGTGGATCAAGAGAAGCACTTGCATTAAATTATGAAACACAAGGGACAAGGTTTTGGACAGATGAAGCAATGAAGCACAGCAGGGTGGTCCAAACTTTGGACTGAATACTATTTGTAGACAAAGGGAAGGTGTCTATTATATTTATTTATTATTATTATGTTTTCTCCTAACTGCTGATTACCTTAAGATATTCTTGAATTCAGCACTGACTGCAATTTAGAAAATTAAACTTTTAATAACTAGTGCAAGCATGGGCCAGTGGTGCAACAGTATTTTTGTTATATAAATATCCAGCATCATGTCTATTTCCCCACTGTTACATACAGAGTGGATAAATATATTAAACTTTATGTACTTCACATAACGTATATACAGTATATTGCCGTAACTCCATTATCCCAGTCCCTTTACTGGGATAAGAATTATTAATTTCTATGCTGTATTTTCCATTCTTCACAGCAGTGAAACATAATATATCTGTATGTCCCCTAACTTAGGACAATAAAAGATAATTGGGGGTATACAAGGACAGACTGAAAACACTAAGACTCTTCAGTTTAGAAAGAAGACTGAGGTGGAATGACAAAGGTCTATAAAATCATGAAGAGTATGGATAAGAGGAATAGAAAACTGTTATTCACCAAATCCCAGAAGACAGGAACTAGGGGGTACCTGCTGAAATTATCAAGAGGCAGGTTTAAAACAAACAAGACACATCATGCAGTTAACTTATGGAACTTGTTGCCATAGGAAAAAAATCACAGAGGACCAGGCGACTGGGAGCTGTTGAACAGAACAATCAGAGATGTAGCCTTTGATATCCCTGGGCATTTATACACATACTTTTTTGTCCTCCAACACACCGGAGATCCACTGCTTCAGAGCAGACTCAATTAAATGAAGTCTGCTGCGCATGCAAGCTGGTGTGCACTGCACTGAATCTCATGCAGTTGTATAAGCAGCAAAATGTACATCAGCACACAGAAAATGTAAGCAGTATGCTTTTGAACTAAAGCACCTTCTGTGTGTTTTAGTTCAAAAGTGCACCAGCACCATTTTCTCAGCGCTGACACGCTTTTCCCCACTTATATAACTGCAAGTGTTGCAGCGCCAGGCGCTTGCATGTGTAAAAATGCCCCCTTGAAGCTGGCTGACCTCGGAGAAAGACAGGGACTGGATCCCTCTAGATGTGTCCCATTCACATATTCTTTCTCCTTATGCAGTAGGGGCCAACCTTTCTTGGTCAGCAAGCCACAAATTAGTCCCACACCCTCTTCAAGTGCCACTGTGATTCTCCCCTTCTCAGTCTCTTGCTGCTCTGTTTTTGTTCCGTACTTGGTGCTTCCTGCTCAATCTCCCACTCTGCTTTCTACTTCCTGCCCTATCTGCTCCTGTGTTGCCTGCCCTACCCCATCTGTTGAGTGCTACATACAGAGATTATCCATGCCACTTATGGCATGCATGCAGCAGGTTGGCCACCCCTGCTCTAAAGCATCTACTACTTACCACTATCAAGAGACAGGCCTACTGTGTTGTGCCACGATGGTAGGCCTAGGCCCACCAGGAACTACAAGCCCCCTCCCATCCTTTAATAGCTAGAGGGAGGCCACTAATTCCACAACTAATTATGTGGGACAAAAATGATATACCAGGAACAAGACTACAGATTATTGGTTAATACCTATGGGGGCCAAGGAAGGGCACCAAGCAGAGAACTCCAGCCGGTGCCCACTGCCCCGTCAACGTGTCTGAAGAGATACTGGGCATTGCCCAGTGAAGCTCTGGGCAAAGACAAGCAGAGAAATGAAAGGCTGGTGCGAGGGAGAGAGCCCAGGAGACAGCTGGGAGGGAGGCCTGCCAAAAGGGAAGGCACCGCCCCCCTCCCAACCTGACTGATGGAAGATTCCTTCCTGACCCCAAATGTGGGGATCAGTCTGACCCCAACTGGGAGCAGTGGTTTCCTGCATACCCTCCTCCCAGGGTCAGACATGGATGGCACAGGGCTCCAGGGCACAGTGCGCTCCTGGCTGCAGAGGACCCACGCATGGGCCTAACCACGAGCCTCTTTCAACTTTCTGGATGCAAATGAACATGGGCAGCGAACACGGGGATGCAGCGCGGAGAAGGGGGGGGTGGCAAGGCAACAGGGGCACGGGGGTGACGTCACAGGAGGCAGCCACAACCCCGCAGGCAGGCTTCGCACCTTGAGCCCCCGCGCATGCGCCTTCCGCCCCGCCCCCGGCCGGCGCACGCCGGTGCTTACGGACGTGGCCGGGCTCCGAACCCGCAGCGCGCGCCCCAAACCAATCCGCTCTAGCGCCCCTCCCCCCGGGCACCCACCTTGGAGACGGAGCACGTGCTCATGTTAACCCACCCCTGCCCCACACGTGCGCGCAGTAACAGCAACCCCCAGCCGGAGCCTGCGAACTGTAGGAGTAAGGAGAAAAGGGGAGAGGGTGGGGAGGTGCTAGCGCATGCGCATTTGGAGAAGGGGGCAGCTTTTTCTCATCCCCAAGGGCTCCTCCCCCCTCGCGCAATGGGACCGTCCATTCCCTGCCCCGCCCGCCCAGCGGGCGGGTTCGAACACCGGAAGGAAGGGAAGCGAAGAAACGGAATCCCCTCAACCTACACCTGGTACAGTCCAGTCCAGTCCGTCCTTTCCCCAGTTGGGCAGGAGGATTGACTCCGCCCTCGTGGGGGGAAGGGGGTGGTTCCACACCCGGCAGCGCCAGGTGTTCCTGCGGAGCCATGGCGGCTTGTTCCTTTCGGAGGAGCATCGCCTCTCAGGTACCGCGTTCCCGGCGCCTCTGTTGCGAGAGGTCTAACCACCCGCCTCCTCGTCCCGTCCCCCCCCTGCGGCAACTCAGGTGGTTCAGTCCGCCCGTTCGAAACGCAGCGGGGCGCTCCCCGCCTCGCGGGCCTCCTGCCGGCAGGGGGCAGCACCAGGAGCTATGGTCTACCGCTGCAGGCAGGGTGGGTCAGGAATAACTCTGGCACTAGGAGGGGAGTGAAGCGCTGGAATGGAGTACCTAAAGAGGTGGTGGAGTCTCCGTCCTTGGAGGTTTTTAAGACCTGGCTAGACAAAGCCTTGGCTGGGATGATGTAGCTGGGAACAGGCTGCTTGGAGCAGGGGCTTGCACCTCCTTGGGTCCCTCCAACCCTCACGATGATTAAGGGAAGCCTCATGGCTTTGCGTGGTGGGCCTTGGCCCACCATCCCTTTGGCATATCAAAAGGCCTGGTTTTCCTGCACTCAGCACCATACCTAGACTCCTAGCAGCCCTGGGCAGACTTCTAGCAGAGATGGTGATGATGATAATCAAACAATAGGAAAAAAATACCAATTTTGGGCCCCTTTTCTTCCCTTTTTGCCCATGCCAGTGTCTGGCCCTGCCTGCACTTGACCCCTTTGGGATGCAGCCCCAAGCATGCCCTTGGCTTAAGCCCTGTATGTGGCTCACCAAACCCCAGGATCTCCTGGTCAACCTCCTCCCAGCTGTGGCCAAGCTCTCCCATCTCCCAGACCAGGAGGGTTGCATTGGCTGGGGGGAACCCAGCTGCCTTCATCTCAGTGTCTGGGCAGGGTTGCACTGGTTGGCTCTACAGGCTCCCTCCGCTTGTTCAGTGGGTGCAGGTCAGTGTGCTCTGTTCCGGGTCCCTTTCTGTACCTCTTGTGACTCTCATCCTCTTCCCTGTTTTGCTTTTGTTTTTAAGCTATTAGTTGTTGCATTACCAGTGGCCTCCCTTATTAAAGGGGGTGGGGGGGGGGTGTAGTTTTTGGTAGAGGACCTAGGCCCACTATATCTTCAGCACAGCAGTAGGCCTGTTGGCTTGAGCTGCTGACCTGGAGTCGGAGCCCCAGTGGCCTCCTGTTCACAGCAGCTTTAATCCAAGTTAAGATGAAAATGGGTGACCCAGGACTTCTGGGACAAAGCCTTGCATCCTAGGATCCTACAGAGGAACAAGCCCATTGTCCTGCTTGAGGTCCCTGGGAAGTACCATGATGACATACTTTCCCCAGAGCACTATGAGTTAATGGTAGAGTGGCCATATGTCCCAAAGGAAGGGACAGTCCCGGATTTTGAAGGCCAGTCCCAGCCAGTTGGTTAAAATTAAAGGAAACATCTCAGAATCAGAGGCGTGTGGGGCTCAGTCTGGCAGGAAGGCCAAGCAGCATGGTGCACCAGGCAGCCCCACCAGACTGCACCTGTGCCACTTCCCATCAATGTCTGCCAGTGCCTGCAGCAGTGTTGCTGACTTTGGGGGAGGGGGAAGTGTCCCAGATGTCCCAGATTGTCTTATGGTCACTCTGGTTAATGGCCATTCCAGCTGCATGTGTAAATAACTGTCCCATGCCAGTTTTGATGGGAGTCCAAGGCTAGGACAGTTAGACCCAGGATAATCCTTATGTCTTTGGCTAGAAACAGATGACTGATTTGATTCATCTTGTCTCTCAGCAAACAGACCTTACAGATGGACAGGCACCCATTGTCCCACATTAAGTACCAGTGAAGGTACTTTGCCTCTGAACACTTGTGGCTAACATGAGTCAATTGTCACTTAAGTCTTGTGTGTAAATGTCTGTCCCTACACCTGTTTTGATGCAGGGACAGTCAAACCCAGGATAAACCCAACATCTGGTTCTGGCCATAAAAACCCTGCTGCTTTGCACTTCTTTGTACTGCCCCCCCAGTTTCACTGGTTTAATTCCAAATTTGGGCTGCTCAACCTATCCAGCCCTGCAGGCTGAATAGCAGCAGGGGAATGGATGGCACAGGAGGACTCCTGGAGCTGCCTTCTGCCATATATACTGCAGCCCCTTAGGAGCCCTCAGTCCCTTCATGGGCTTTAAAGCAAGGGGAGGGCACCTTTTAGCAGAGTCCTGCTGCTGGGACCTTCCTCTGCCATCCTACCAAGGGCTGTTCCTCTCCTCCCTGTGCTTGGCACTAGCCAGGGCAGCACCATTCAGGGCTTAAAGTGATCCTTCAATGCAGCCCCTACACTCCTGCCACTAGAAAGCAGCCTCCCCAGACTATCAACATGCTTTGGCTTCCCCTGCAAGGACAGACCTCTCCTTCTCCAGCTGCTGCTGCTCTGCTGATCCCAAGAGCCTGTCAGTGCAGAGACTAGCCATGGGGGAGAGCCTGTGGCTGCTCCATTGAACCATCACATCCTGCTCCTCCCACTGAGGCAGGTGCATTTGGGAGGAGCAGTTCTTTTAATGTCAATCGCTGCATGGCTCGGGGATGGAGCCAGCCAGCACAAAGGCATAACCTCAGCACTGCACTGGCAGCAATTGGGTTGGACCGGGTACAGCTGAGCCCATGGATACCAAGGAAACAGAGGGAGCTTTGTAGCAGCTGCTGCCGAGTTGTCCTTGGGCAAAAGGAGATTCCAGGGTGGGATATAAAGTGCCCAATGGAGGAGCAAAGAGTGCAGGAGCAGCCGCAGGTGCAAGAACTAGTGCTCAGTTCTGTAAAGAGGGGAAGGGCAGCTGGGAGCTGAAGTCTCAGCAGCCTGGAAGCTGAGCAAAGAAACAAGGATTCGTGTGTGCAAGGACTTGGGATAGGATTGGAGATGTTGGGAGGCAGTTCCTCCTGGCAGGAGGGACTGTGTAGCACTTTTAGAAGAATCTAATGGCACCTGGTTGATGATCATGGGCATACCAGTTCTCTTCTATTTTGTATTTGCGCTCTCAGGTGCTTTTCCTATGGGTAGCACCTCATATTTGTTTTTGTTGACTTTCATCTTGCTGTCTATAGCAAATTAATCAGGATGCCTTCAAGTTTTGACATGATTCAAAGTGTTTACAACCCACCCCTCCCAGTTCTGCGTCATCTGCAAATTTGATCAGTATGCACTTTGACTCTGTATCCAAGTCACCGATAAAAATATTAAACAATACAGGATCCAGAACAGAATCCTCTGAAATCACCCTGCAATCCAGCATTGATCTATATGGAGTTACTCTTTGTGGCTGTTCAACCAAATGTGTATCCACCTAATGGTAATTGTAGCTAAAACAAATTTCTCCAGTTGTGACTCTGAAAACTGTATTGAAGTCCAGGACATTATGTCCACTTTCCCTTATCAAACAGATTAGCCTGTCAAAGAAGGAAATCAAGATAGTTTGACATGATTTAGTTTTGACAAATCCTGTTTGGTAGTGATCGCTCCCTGACTCCTTAAGCACAGTTATCCAAGTTGTGCTTGCCTAGTTTCTCGACCAGGGCTGTCCAACTTCTGAGCATCCAGGGTTGCATGTTGTGGGTGCGTTTCTACGTGTTATTCATGTGACACAAACTCCAGAGCAGTTCAAGCCAGGGTAAACTGCTTCCATGCATAGTGTCTACAAACATACCTGGGACAGCAGCAATTTGAGCTGGGGCAGAACAGGCCTCTGGCTGGCTGAGCTGACTGGCTGCAATTTACTCCCATGGTCAGCATTTGTATGTGCATTTCAGCAAAATAAATTACTCTACCATAAGATAGTGCTATCCCCAACAGTACAGGAGACCCTTGCCATTTATGGGGGATATGTTCTGGAGATCCCTGTGAATGTTGAAACCCATGAATACAGGCTAACTCAGAGACGGAACTCAGGCTAGCGTCCAGGATTAAGGACAACAACAAGTCCTTTTTCAAGTACATTGGGAGCAAGAAGAGGGCACCAGGCAATGTAGGGTCCCTGCAAGACTCAAATGGTAATCTTGTGGCTACACCAGATGAAAAAGCTGATATTTTTTAACAGTTTCTTTGCCTGTTTTCTTGAACAAGGACCAGGACTGTCCCTCCTACCAGAGTAGGGACAATCTCAGGGATAGCTCTGACAGGCCTTGGGTCAGAGCAGAGGTAGTTAGGGATCTTCTGGAAGGGCTGGACATTTTAAGTGTCCAGCCCAAGGGTGTTGAGGGAGCTGGCAGGGGTCATCGCGGAGCCCTTGACCACGAATGCTCATACAGCCGGGCCATCTGGCCAGGTGCCGAAGGATTGGAAACTAGCTAATGTGGTCCCCATTTTTCAGAAAGGGAGGAAGGAGGACCCAAATAACTATAGGCCCGTAAGCCTCACCTCGGTGCTTGGGAAGATCTTAGAGAGAATCATCAAGGAGCACATCTGTGGGGGGCCTGCAGGGGAGATCATGCTCAGGGGCAATCAGCATGGGGTCATCAAAGGCAGGTCCTGCCAGACCAACCCGATTGCCTTTTATGACCGGGTAACTAAATCCTTGGATGATGGTGTCTCCATGGACGTAGTCTTTCTACACCTTAAGAAATTAAGTAGTTAATACTAAACAACTTAACTACTTAAGAAATTAACTACTTAGTTAATACTACAACAACTTAAAAGACAGAAATCCATGCATGTTCCCTGACAATATACAGTGGATACAAAGAGACTAAAAAAACCTATTTACAGCATTCATCCTACATAAAAAGAAGAAATGGAACAAATTACTCCAAGAACAAGCTCCCCAGCCACAAAACAACCAACCATCAGAGGAACAACACCAACACCTTACAACATTCCAACCTCCGACTCGATGAAACTGAAAGCAGCAGCCAACTCACAAATATTATCAATCTTTCCACACACATGCTTACCAAAACTGAAAAATCTGTCCTTTCTAAAGGCCTAAATTTCTGTCCAGAAAAATACCCTAACAGAATACTTCAATGTGGAGAACTAGAAGAATTCTTCCCACTCCTGCGCCTCAAAGACTATTTCCACAACCAAACTGAACCCACTCCCAACAACAACTCATCCTCTGACAACATTCAGGAAAGG